TGAACAGACAACTCTCCATTTTTCCTACACCGAAACAACGTTAACATATGTTGGTGAAGCTTGTTCTGTCATGTTCTGAATGTGAATATAGTACACTGTCCTTCCCTAGAGAGGCGACGAAACGAGTCTTGGGGAGACAATTTTTGTGTGGGCATCCAGCCATCTTTCTTGGATACTAGTTGTTATTGATGTCTTTGTCACCTGGTGGGTTGTTACAGTTCGATTACACCATGTCACTGCATCTTTTGACTGATCTGTCTGATATTTCAACCTCGGTGACTGTCCACTGTAGGAGTGACAGTTGTACTGAAGAACCTGTGTGAGTCAGCTGTTTCTTCTTCTTCTTCTTCTTCTTTTTCTTCTTCTTCTTCTTCTTCTTCTTCTTCTTCTTCTTCTTCTTCTTCTTCTTCTTCTTCTTCTTCTTCTTCTTCTTCTTCTTCTTCTTCTTCTTCTTCTTCTTCTCTGCTCACCGGCTGTAAGCTCCGGAGAAAATCCCGGTCGTTTGTCTATCTGGACTTTGACTTTGTGCCAAGTCCTTAGTTTTGCGTATACATCGAGTTTACAAACTGCGGGCCTTTCGGGTTGGCTACTGCCGGTAGAACCACCTTGACATCAGTCAGAAATACCACTCCGGGACGTTTGTTGAACTTGTGTTTATACGGGATAGAACATGCCACCAGAAGTGCATCTGCCTCGGATCTGTAGCTAGAGGAGAATGTACCCATGGATTTAGTTTGTTTGAATGTAAAAACCATTTGGGCATTCTGTGAATATTCCTCCTGCCATGTCTCCCTGGCTGCTGTCTTGACTATTCCATGTGTTTAAACTCTAATCTAATTCTGGTGTGGACAGAAAGTATTATTTATTTTTCTGTTCGGACTGAGTTGAATTGGTCAAGGAACTGATATCACAGCACTCCGGACATTCCCACAATTACTCCATCCCCATCTTCAGTAGTCAGGGCAATCTTTGGCTTCATTGCAGAACTGATTATAGTTGATTTTAGAGGAAATCCCTGTTATTGTGTCGTTGACTTTTGGCAAGTAATTCTTAAGGCGCCCCCTTCCCTCCCACGCCCAGCCCACTCTCTTATTGGCTGTGGTGGTCGTCATATTTGAGTGGCGCATTTAATACTGAATGAGGTTTTATCGTTCAGCTCCTCGGAGGGGATTTTTTCTTCTGTAAACAGTAGACTCGCTGCTGCTTAAGGATGTCGTAAAAGGTGGCTGATTCTTTGCTAAAATCGGAAGGCTCATCGCAATCTAGCTGTCAACCAAAATCCCGCGTACCAACCCCAGCTTCCGCGTACCAACCCCAGCTTCCTCGTACCAACCCCAGCTTCCTCGTACCAACCCCAGCTTCCGCGTACCAACTCCAGCTTCCGCGTACCAACCCCAGCTTCCGCGTACCAACCCCAGCTTCCGCGTACTAACCCCAGCTTCCGCGTACGAACCCCAGCTTCCGCGTACCAAGTGACTGCGTTTAAATTTCCGGTCACTGCGTATGACCAAAGTCGCTGACATAAGATTCCCTGTTGTCAGACCTTGTTGTTTTATACCTAGCTGTCATGTCTCGTTTCCTTGTTCTGGCATGAGAGAAAGCTGTTCAACTAAGCGGATAATTTTAAAATTATGGGAATCTTTGTTGAAGCAGTCGACAATTTCGAGTATAAAATTTTCTTCACTATTTATAATAATGCTGAGCGGCTAACATACTTTGCACAAAGAAATCAGACCACACTTATTGCCGAAACTGCTCGCGGTAGGTTGAAGGTGGTCTTATTTTATAAATGGATGGTTAGACTTGCACGCGTATGCCTCAGACTGATTTTTCAAGGTCAGCACTTTATAACGGGACAAAGAGAACACCACACAAGTAGGGTTACTTTATAATCCACCAAACTATCCGGGAAGTGTAACCGGTCAGCAAGTGCTCAGTGAAGTCGGATGTGTCGACCGAAAGTCTCAAACGTGGCAGTTTTGATGTAAACAGCCACAACGCAGTGACGTCACTCGGACGGACAAAAAAAAGAAACCCCAGTTTCTAATGATGTTGTTACATCATTAATGTATACTGATTGCATATGTATGTGTTTTATCATACTGGGTATCGTGAAAGATATAAGATCAAACGAAAAGTAGACCTGCAAGCTTCACAGTTTAACAAACACAAACGGAGAGTAGACCTGCAAGCTTCACAGTTTAACAAACACAAACGGAGAGTAGACTTGTAAGCTTCACAGTATAACAAACACAAACGGAAAGTAGACCTGCAAGCTTCACAGTAAAACAAACACAAACGGACAGTAGACCTGTAAGCTTCACAGTATAACAAACACAAACGGAGAGTAGACCTGCAAGCTTCACAGTATAACAAACACAAACGGAGAGTAGACCTGTAAGCTTCACAGTAAAACAAACACAAACGGACAGTAGACCTGCAAGCTTCACAGTATAACAAACACAAACGGAAAGTAGACCTGCAAGCTTCACAGTATAACAAACACAAACGGAAAGTAGACCTGCAAGCTTCACAGTATAACAAACACAAACGGAAAGTAGACATGCAAGCTTCACAGTATAACAAACACAAACGGAAAGTAGACCTGCGAGCTTCACAGTATTACAAACACAAACGGAAAGTAGACCTGCGAGCTTCACAGTATTACAAACACAAACGGGAAGTAGACCTGCGAGCTTCACAGTATAACAAACACAAACGGAAAGTAGACCTGCAAGCTTCACAGTGTAACAAACACAAACGGAAAGTAGACCTGCGAGCTTCACAGTATAACAAACACAAACGGAAAGTAGACCTGCAAGCTTCACATTATAACAAACACAAACGGAAAGTAGACCTGCAAGCTTCACAGTATTACAAACACAAACGGAAAGTGAACGTTGAAGCTAAATATCCTTTATCAGCACATTAAATAAATAAACAAAACTACATTTACAGACACGAATACACCAAACTACTTAACTGACGTATTCCCGATGTCAGTCGCGTTGTTATACGACTTAAGAATGCGTATTCATACTGTGTAGTATGTTTGGATAGCAGTGTTTAGCAGCTGTATTGCTGTCTGTACAGATGCAGTTGTCGGCTCTGTGGCTAAGTCGATGCGAACGCTTTGTAATGCCGGGATGCCGGGTTCGATCCCAGCTGCGGGCAATGCGCCTTGCGTTGGTTTCGACAGCGGTATCAAGAAAGCCGACCGTCCAGTAGCAATGGCAAACTACTGGACGTATATTTGCCTAGAAAAACCACACAACAGCCAGGGGCTGCTGGGGTTGGTTCTGAAACGTCCTGTAAAGGATACGTAACTAACCTAAATAGATGCAGTTATGCAGGTTTTTTTTTTTCACAATAGTTATAATGACGTAAATATATTATCATGGTTTGTAAATACAGCTTACGAACCGGTAAATTCATGCCATAATTGCGTCTGTTAGGTGTTTATATCCAGTGCTACCATCTGCGAACATCAAACCCTTCCATACAATGAGGAAAACATATAGTATAATTGTATATGTTTGATTACTGATTTAGGAATCGACATCATAGCACACTGGGCAAACCCATAGATGCTCCATCTCCGGCAGCAAAGGACGTAAGTTGTAGACACTATCTGTTCCTGTAACAAACTGATTATACACACGCCGATCTCTTCCTTTCAACCGCCCCTCCTTGCCGGATCCACACTTAATTCCTTGTTAAACACCTTCTTGCCCGTGTTATTTTATCTAATCTCCTGTCTTCTGCCAACAGTGCATATATAGTTAAAAAATATCTCCCTTCTCCGATATGAGTCTTCCCCTATCTTTCGCTTTGTAGCCAGAAATGTCACTCTTTTATTCCCTCGCTTCTATATGTTTTATCGTCATTTAATGAAATTTTTTTTTTCCTGCACTGTTTCATTACGTTTTATTCCCATAAATAGCAGCGTATGGACTTATCCAGTACTGTCAACCTCTTTTGGGCAGAGGGTACACATTTTAATTTTTATTTAATAAAATGTATGTCGTCTCAGCGTGGAAGAGACTGGCGCCTAAGTATCTAATATTCCCGAAGATAGCAGTAGATCTATCCCAATGCAGGCAAAAATCTATTGTTTAAACAGCAGTTTTTTTTTTCTTTCTTTTAAGTGAAAAGTCGGATAGAATACCTCAGAACGTGATATTCTGTAAGACAGCAATAGATCAGCATATCCACTGCAGACCAGTGACGAGGCGTTATTAGTTTGCATTGTAAGCGTTATCAGGTAACGATTACACTGGAGGGGGTATCACAATGTAATGTCCTCCTCCTTGCTTCGCTGTTCAGCGTATGAGTGCGCCGCTAACATTGTAGTACTAATAACTGGTAGTTTTCACACGGCATGCAGCTAGCGTCTTTTTTTTTCGCTATGTTTGAGAACGAACGAACGAGCGAACTTTTTTTTCAAAGGGTTACAAATTGGGCACGCAGGCCTGTCTTTCATTCATTGAGACGTTAACCGAGGGGCGTATTTGTAATAAATAGTAGTCAACAGTAGTAATGAATAGTAAGATCGTTTTTCTTTGGCTGTGGAAAAGTGTGAGCGCTGATTACAGTCGTTACATGCACGGCCTCATTATTACTGCAGAGAAGCTGCATTATGGAGACTGCACATAATTTAATTTATTTTCAGTGAAGGGTGCGACACGTTTTTTTCTTTAAACTAATGATGTGTTTGTATATCCTAAGGCCTAAGCTAATGTAACTTATGTATTCACATCCGTGTATATATTTGCTTTTTTTTTTTTTATCTCTATTAGTTGTAAGAACAATGTTTTCTTTCGACTAACTTAATTGTGTGGTATCTGGATGCGGTGAGGAAACTATACGCGGATTAAATAAATCTTTACCACAACTTGTATACGTGGTTTACAACAGTCACCAACTATATGGAGTCAATTACTAGGGATTATATTTCTAGTTTGGTCAGAGTTACCGTTTGCTAGGGTAGACTTTCCACCATGGACAGAACGCCTTTTGGCCGTCTGGCCCGGATGTACAAGGCCTTCTCGAAGAACTACAAGGACTTGGATAAACTGGATGAGTCCACAGACGTTAAGGACGTCAGCGATACAGCGCCTATCTACCACTCCGATCAGGAGCTTGTGGATAAGGATTGGGATTGTAAGTATATGTGTGTTAAAAGTAGACCAGGCTCTATATTATGTCAGTGATTGGCATCGCTTTGAAGTGTGTCTGTTTATAAGTATATGTGTGTTAAAAGTAGATCAGGCTCTATATTATGTCAGTGATTGGCATCGCTTTAAAGGGTTTCTGTTTATAAGTATGTGTGTGTTAAAAGTAGACCAGGCTCTATATTATATGAGCAATTGGCATCGCTTTAAAGTGTGACTCTCTTCAAGTATATGTGTGTTAAAAGTAGACCAGGCTCTATAGTATGTCAGCAACTGGCATCGCTTTAAAGTGTGTCTGTTTATAAGTATATGTGTGTTAAAGGTAGACCAGGCTCTATAGTATGTCAGCAACTGGCATCGCTTTAAAGTGTGTCTGTTTATAAGTATATGTGTGTTAAAGGTAGACCAGGCTCTATATTATGTGAGCAACTGGCATCGCTTTGAAGTGTGTCTGTTTATAAGTATATGTGTGTTAAAAGTAGACCATGCTGTATATTATGTCAGTAATTGGCATCGCTTTAAAGTGTGTCTGTTTATAAGTATATGTGTGTTAAAGGTAGACCAGGCTCTATATTATGTGAGCAACTGGCATCGCTTTGAAGTGTGTCTGTTTATAAGTATATGTGTGTTAAAAGTAGACCATGCTGTATATTATGTCAGTAATTGGCATCGCTTTAAAGTGTGTCTGTTTATAAGTATATGTGTGTTAAAAAAAAGACCATGCTCGATGTTATTTCAGAAATTAGCATCGCTTTGAAGTGTGTCTGTTTAAAAAAAAATCAATAGACCATGCATATTTGCAAAATGTGTATGTTTGTAAACAAAAACAAAACAAAAAAAACTTAATGGACAATGCAGTATATGTGTGCAAACTTTACTAGACAATAAATATGTATGTCTGAACGTTATTTGCCTCTGCAATCTGCCTGTAAACTTTGCCAGGCTGTATGTATCTGTACTTGACTTGCAGTGTTTATGTATAGAGTTTACTAGACTCTGCAGTGTGTTTGTATAAACTCTACTCGACTCTACAGGATGTATATATAAACTTTACTATAGTCTGCAGTCTGCGTAGACTTTACCAGTGTATGCAATGTATGTGTTTAAACTTTGCTAGGCTCTGCAGTGTGTATGTCTAATATTTACATACTAGACTCAGCTGTGTGTGTGTATCTTACCTTGACAAGACTCAGCAGTGTGTATATCTTACCTTTACTATACTCAGCAGTGTGTTTATCTTACCTTTACTAGACTCAGCAGTTTGTGTATCTTACCTTTACTAGACTCAGCAGTGTGTGTATCTTACCTTTACTAGACTGCAGTGTGTATATCTTACCTTTACTAGACTCTGCAGTGTGTATATCTTACCTTTACTAGACTCAGCAGTGTGTGTATCTTACCTTACTAGCTTCTGCAATATGTGTATCTTACCTTTACTAGACTCAGCTGTGTGTGTATCTTACCTTGACAAGGCTCAGCAGTGTGTATATCGTACCTTGACAAGACTCAGCAAACTGGGTTATTTATACGATGATCTCTCCATTTACACACCACCGTTTGTAGGTCAACTTCATTGATAAGTTGGTTGGACTTGTCTACTGTGGTCGAGGTTATGGCTGTCGCAGTCTGTTGTGTTCTTCCATATTCGTTTTTATTTCCGAGAAAGAGACGGCCTATGACATAGGTTTTGTCACTCTCTAGGGTGGTTATGTGTTAGATCAAGAATCTAAATGTTTTAGAAGGGTTAAAAGCTCTGGTATGGTGAAATATACAGCACGCGGTATCAGCGCGAGTGCGGAATATCCCGTGACCTTATGTGAAAGTCGGATCGCTCGTGGCCGACCTATCAGTATTGAGTTAGTATGTAGGTCGTCCAATCAGAAGCGAGGTAGGGTGTAGCGGTGTGTAAATGGGGAGACCAGCGTAAATTTACCGCAAACTGTATATCTAAACTTTAATAGACGCTGCTAGATGTATGTATAAATTTACTAGACACAACAATGTACACATACAAGGTCCGACAATTACGTATTGAGACCTATTTTGTTATGGCCAGAACAAAATTGCTATCTATGAAACAAAGCATGGAATCCAAACAGGCAACCTTCATCTATGATCTAGCTACTTTTCATCGCCACCCGATGAGCAAACAACAAACAAGCCGCCATTTTGTTAACCTAGTCAGGGGTGCATTGTTGCGTAATCAGCACGGAGCAAAAAGCTAACATTAAATTCTGTTTGAATTTCAGAAAGAGCGGCATTGCGAGAGTACAATTTATGCAACAATTTAATAGGTACAATTATTTATCTCATGCACATATTTTTAGATAGTATTCACGATTCAAAAGTGGTATGGAAATGATTAATAATGCAACTAGACCTGGACACCCTATTTCTGTTCGTAATAAGGAACTCATTGCAAATGTCAGAGAACTGATACAAGAAGATTGTTGTTTGACTGTGAGGGTGATGGCAGATGGATTTCGTAAAATATTAGTGAGATTTATGCAGTAAAAAAATTGCTTTTCTGTTAGTACCACGTACTTTGTCTGATGACCAAAAACATCAGCGTGTTGAGTACGCAAAAGACATCACCAAAACTTGTCACAGAAATAAAGATTCCCTAATTTTGATTGTTGCAGAGGATGAAACCTGGATTTTCTGCTATGATCTCACAACTAAACGCCAAAGTGCGTTTTAAAAAAAAAAAGCTTTTTATGAATTAAGAAGCAAAGGATGTTTTTGTTTTCAAGAGCTGTATCTACATATACAGTTAAATATCTTGGTACAGCTCACGTTTCCAATTCCAGGCTCCGCATACTTACACACTACCTTACTTTTCATTCATTCTTAGGCTTGTCAACTTTCTTAAAGTTTAAAGGGGTGTCCCAGTTTACTGTTTTTCGAAACGCTTTCTCCGTTCTCTTCATCGACCTGCAATATCGCGTGTTGTGTATTCTCTGTGTCAGCGCTTTTAATGCTACCAAAAGATGCAGAACTGGCCCTATCACAAACCTGCTTCAAGAGTACAACCTAGGTCCGACGGATTCTTTTTCTCGGAATAAAAACGCAAATAGAAGGCAATGCAGAAAGTTTTTTGAGCAAACAGTAAACAGTAAACCAGAACACCCCTGTAACCTTGAGCAAAGGTCACGAGCCTGACCAAGGACCAATCATAGGTGACCTATTGTGTAAATGGGCGGAGCCTGAGCCTGGAACCGTGAGTTGTTCCAAAATCTTAAATAATGGTGTGACATGTGCATTTAATTATAGATTAAGTTAAAGGAGGTGGGGCGTCAGGATCTTGCCATATATTTTAGGACTGGGGGGAGGGGTTACCTAAAACACACATCAGCCACTGGGTCACCCATTGGCTTGCCTGTAGACGACTGAAGTCAGACTCCTTTGTTCGCATCAACACTGTAGGAGTCTTTTTCAGAGCTCTAGGTGGCGTGCAGTGCTAAGCCATTTGATATGGCTCAGATAACCTAGTCACAATTATAACCAAAACTTCCCCTTTCGGGGATGCTGGTTAAACGTCACGACCTCCCCCCCCCCCCCCCCCCCTCACATAGCCACCTGAAAATGTCTGTAAACCACTGGGTTCGAGAGTGACGTCTGCGGAAAACCGACTGTCTTAACGGATTCCCGCCATGTTTTTGCCTCGAGAAGACCCGTCAAGAAAATGAGCAAATTATGTTTGAGAAACCTTGACAAAGAACTAAGCACACGATGATTGTATACTAGAACCGACAGCAGGCTTGTTTCATCTGCCAACTTTGCTTTGTCATATACGTTTTGATTAGCTGTAAGGGCCTGATTCTGCTTTGCCCAGCTATGTAATGTTGTGTTACCGGACATCTCAAAGTGGTGGTGGTTGTGTTTTGGATGCGTTATGAGTACTGGACAGCTGAAATGTGTTTGGCATTTAGAAATGCTTACGCTGAGTGGAAGACATAGATTGTGTTTGCGTGGGGGGGGGGGGTGGTGCACAAAACAGGAAAGGGGGGGGGGGAGATTCTTAATACCTTTTGCATATATAGGGATATGCTAATTATAACGTGCGGTAAAACGGAGTTATCTCTCTCTCTCTCTATCTTTCGCTTTTTCTTTCTCTTTTTCTGTCTCTTGTTCACACACACACACACACACACACACACACACATACATATATATATATATATATGTGTGTGTGTGTGTGTGTGAGTAAAGTAAAGTAAAGATCCCTTCTCACGCCTTTAGGCTATCGGGCATGTGGGTAGAAAACCCATATTTTTACAGACCAATCGGCACTCGGTGGTTAATGTGGTCAGCATTACGCCGGCCGTCTTTGCTTTGGGTCGACCTGGGAGTCAAAGTCATTTTTGACAAAAGTCCGGCTCCGCCAGGGAGCGTACCCACGATCTTCCGATCCACACGAGAGCGCCTAGCCGCTACGCCAAAAAAAAAAAAAAAAATACTTTCAGCGAACATCTTCATTAAAAGACAACCAGGAGGACAGTTTATAAAATAGAATCCACTGTTTGAGTAATACATACTATAGAAACAGCTATATGGAAACTGTAACTAGTACTAGAGAATTTGTCAATTATTACATTTAAAAAAATGATATATTGCAAGTAGAGACATCAAACCGTAGCAGGAAATGGTGGCCAGCAGTTTTATTTTCCTACAATGTAATGAGGGGTGGGATGAATTAAAAAAAAATAGAAAGTTGTTAACGATATACAGGGGGGGGGGGGGGGGGGGCAAGGGGGGGAAATGGGGAAAACAGGGGGGGGGGGGGGGGGGGCAGAGTTGAAGGGCGAGAGGAATAACAGGACAACAACGAGTAAGAGAAACAGATAACCAGGTATGAAAAGACAGAAACACATAGAACAGAGGGATTTTGATGAAATAGGCAGCTACAGACAAAATTAATGATAAAGATAGCCAGTCAACATACACAGAGAGAAAGAGAGATAAAGACACAGATATTCAGTGAGCATA